ATCTCTTAACCCCCTATCACCTCCCTGAGTGAGTGCAGAAGAATGTCTGAGCTGGACATCAGAGGCGAGAAAACTCTGAGGTAAACAGCAGGAGTAAACAACAGTGCACACAGCCCCCTGCAGGGAGTGCACATGGCCCCAAGAGGCCCAATGACACAGAAGCTGCATGTGGCTCATCCTAAAAGGAGAAAGGGTCAGAGACACAGTTGGTTGACCATCAAGTGGAGCCTCCCAGAACACCCTCTGCTTGGATCGCCTGGCCAGCGGACCAGCTTAGGAGTCAATTTGGGAAGATTAAACAACATGAACTGCCTTCTGCTCGCCTTATCATCCTGCCTGGGACTGTAAGGATATGTCTTACGGGTATGTTCATCGACGGAGCCATGTAGATGAGTTTACTAGACATAGGGAAATGAAGCGGCGATTTAAATAATCGCCGCTTCATTTACATCAAAATGGCTGGTTATATGCAGGAAGAATTATGTGCCTATCAGCTGTTTGGCGGCACAGCGCAGTAGTCTGGACACGCCGCGGTCGACAAGGGAAGTCTTTGTTGACCGCCCCGGTATGCCTTGTGAAATGCCTCTAGACATACCCTAAGGCTGTGTCTAGACTGGCAAGTTTTTCCGAAAAATCATCTGCTTTTGCGGAAAAACTTGCCAGCTGTCTACACTGGTCACTTGAATTTCCGCAAAAGCACTGACAATCTCATGTAAGATTGTCAGTGCTTTTGCGGAAATACTATGCTGCTCCCGTTCGGGCAAAAGTCTTTTTCCGAAAGACTTCTGCGCAAAAGGACCAGTGTAGACAGCAGAGATTTCTTTTCCACAAAAAAGCCCCGATCACAAAAATGGCAATCGGGGCTTTTTTGCGGAAAAGGGCATCTAGATTGGCCACGGACACTTTTCTGCAAAAAGTGCTTTTGCGGAAAAGCATCCTGCCAATCTAGACGCTCTTTTCCGAAAATGCTTTTAACGGAAAACTTTTCCGTTAAAAGCATTTCCGGAAAATCATGCCAGTGTAGACGTAGCCTAAGTGTAGTTGAGTGTATGACTGAGATTCCCCTCCCTTCCAAGTTTTAACTGAATAAACAAACCCTTTACACTCCTATGTGGTGATCCCCTCTCCTTAGTGTTTAAAGCAGTTGCAATCCACATCTCCTTGCAACAGGACAATCCAACAAGCATCACATAAGTTAAACCACTGGAGCTCTATTAGGTTTTACTATAAGGCTTTTTGTCTCATCCTTTAAATCATTCTCAGGGCTCTTCTCTGAATCTCCTCTAATTTACCAGAACCTTTCTTGAAGTATGGGCACTAAGAATGGACAGAGCATTCCAATATCAGTCATACCTGCATGGAGTATCCTCCATACTCCTACTTGATAGTTCCCTGTTTATACATCCCAGGATCACATTAGACCTTTTGGCCAAAGACTGGCTAGATGATTCCAGAGGCACTTCTTCCCTAGATAGAGTCTCCCATCCCATAAGGATGGCCCACATTCTTTCTTTCTATACATATACATTTACTCAGATTAAAATAATTGAACCTGACTTACCAAGTGAGCCAGATAACTATCAGGTGACCCATCCTCTTCATTGCTGTACCACTTCTTCAAACTGTGTTTCGTCTGCAAACTTTATCCATGGTAATTTTACATTCTTTTCCAGGCCATTGCTAAAGCATAGTGCTTAGAACTGATTCTTGCAGCAGTCCACAAGAAACACATCTGATCCGATTCTCCATTTACAACTATGTTTTGAGACCCATTAGTTAGCCAGTTTTTAAATCCATTTAATTTGTGCACGATTGCTTTTGCATTGTTCTGGTTTCGTAGCCAAAATGTTGTATGAGGCCTACTCTACTGCCTTTCAGAAGTCTATTCCATCAATATGATTACCTTTAATCAATCAAATTTGTAATCTCATAAAAATTCAAATTAGTTTGAGAAGGTCTATTTTACATAAATTCACATTTTAAACATTCAGTACTGACTGGGCCTGAATACTCCAAAGAGCACTGCAATATACAGAGATATTCGTGCTCATGTGAGAATGGAGAGCACTGAATAGTGTAATGCATTTCAAACAAAAGGAAGCCAAATCCTTCAGTTGTTGGCACATAATATTGCAAGGTACTGAGTGCTTTCAGCTTCCATTGATTTGAAAGTGCTTAGGTCTTTGCAGAGCTAATATCTTGGTCTTAATACACACATTTTTTCCCATTGGAGCCAATGCCGCCTGCAAACCTGTAGCTGAGTAATAATCTGTCCTTGTTTAATGTCTATGAAATACTCACAGATACCTACCATTTGCATCAGACATATATTGAAACAGAAAAAGCTTAAGCCTGGCTAGATATTGTGTTACATGGATTTGGATATTGGAGCATTTAATACTTGAAAGTACAGTATATTGAATGTAATGGAGATTGATTGAAGAACATCTAAATAGCAGATCTGTTGACAAAATAATGGCTGGGTATATGCAGAAAAAATTATCATTAATTACCTAAAAGCCTCTCTGTGTACAAAGAAATGACTTTCTAATTTGAACTTTTGTAATCAAAGAAAACCAGAATGAACTACCAGTGGTAATACACATTTATTGGTATTGGATTAATTAAATCTTGCAGGTTTGCCCAAAACCTTTTCAAGTGTCATCTCTAGAGCAATGTGTATTTTGCACTAATGAAAGAAATGGAATTCAGAAATGGCCTTTAGCAAATGCGTAAGTTTTTCAGTCCATTAATATGAAAAGGAAATGTGGACTGCAAAAGTCTCTCTCTGAGCAAGTAACATTAACTCAATTTGGACTAGCTTGCGGTTATCAGTTTGCTTTTAAGCACTGGAGCCCAAATATGGAACACAGGAACGGGGGAAATGTTTTAGAGAAAGCAGCTAATGTAAAAATCATTTACTGAAAAAATAAATACACATAATTCATTAAATTCTCTCATTGCTGCAGGCGCTGAGATTGATACTTCAAGTGGCTGAGGATGTCCTGAAAATAGCGACACAATCTTTGGTTCTTCTAAATATCAATGGTTCTGAAGGGTCAAACATATCTTATAAATCTGAGGCTGAAATTTGAGAAGCAGGTGACAAAATCTATTGGAAAAAGCCAAGCCTCCCCCATGATTACAATCTTGTGATATGGAAATGCCGCAGGCTTTCTTGCTAATTAAAATTGAACTACAAAATAAACACAAGCAATTTTCAAGCATACAACTAAAGAAGAGCCGATTAAAATGGCAAAAATTATTTCTAGGTCTATTGCCTCTATAATTATAAACTGGCTGATTTTTATTTATTTATTTCACTGAACTAATCATGTAGTGTCTCCTACCAGGGACTAAGCCCTGAAAAGCCATCTGATGGTCAGAATGCAGTTCCCAGTTCCTGCTTTACTAGCAGAAGAGCCAAGCTGGGATGAACACATCCTCCCTTGGTGCTCCATCATGGAGCATACCCAAGGATCTAGCCTATAGATCTTAAGGCCAAAAGGGATCATTATGATCAGTTAGTTTGCTCTCCTTCATTGTAAGGGCCATAACATTTTAGCGGCCATTAGCTCAGTATCTTGTGGGTATATTAGAGGGTTTCTGGGCTTTGTTTAAAGCCTTACAAGAGATATAGAATTTACCACAGGCTTTTAGTCACCTGTTCTAGTTTACTCTCGCTGTTAAAAAAGCAAAGGACAGCAACTGTGCTCAGCACTTCCAGTCTCTGGGACCAAGTATACACGGTCAGAAAAAAAAATCAATGTAAATATGCAATTAGAGCTATGACAGTTGCATAGATGGTGCGGACATACCTTATATCTTTTTTTGGTGTGGCCCCACAGTGAGAGGTTGATGGGAAGAAACTCTCCTGTTAACTTCCGTTACTCCTCGTGACTAAGAGGAGTACCCATGTTTGATGGGGGTGCTGTCAGTTTTTGATTTAGTGGGTCTTTATTAGACCTGATACATTGAATGCCGGAAAAACGACCATTGCAGCTTTGATCTCCACAGCTGTGAAGATAAGCCCTAAGAGAGAGGGTTTTAGTTTTGAAGGTGGAGATTAAAAAAAAAAAATCACTAGCGTGGGGCTAACTCATTCACTACAAGCTGGAATGACAAGCAGTGACTGATCCAGTAGGGATCAATTTATCATGTCTAAATTGACTGCTGAGTGCTCTCCCATTGACTCCAGTACTCCAGCAAAATGAGAAAAGTAACCAGACTCAACCGGAGAATGTCAGCTGTCTACTTCACTGCAGTGAAGACACTGCATTAAGCAGACCTAAGAACATCGATTTCAGCTACGTTATTTACGTAACCGAATTTGGGTAACTTAGGTTTACAATCCTCGGTAATGTTGAAAAGGCCTCACTCACTGAAGTCAGTTTTGCTTAAATAAAGATTGGGTAACAACTGGGCAAGAGCTAAATGATTTGGCCTGATAGACAAAATCTTTTACAATTGAAGAAAACAAAAAATATTAGGAGGCCTTGACAGCAGCTTAGTGCAGCAGTAGGAGAGAGGGAATTATTCTACAGACTGGAGGGAAATGACCATTAGTACAATGATAGAGTCCAAGCACTGTCTGCCCCTGATAAATAATAGATCCCTCTCCTTCATTCCCAATGGAGTGTCCCATATCACATACATGTCCATTATCTATCCCGTGAATCTTTTCATCTGTTACTGGAAATTTGTTTATGTTGTTTTGATAAGAAACCAAAGCAGTAATTCAGTGCAAGAAACTTTAAACAGCAATTAAGTCCAATAGATATATACAGTAGCTTACCATCTGTGTGCATTACAGCTCTCCCTGATCAATAGTAATTCAGTGCTATAGTATGGTGCATCATCATCTGACAGATATTTTAAGACTTGATTAGTTGTAGGCTCTTGCGAGGGCCCACTGGGACACTACTACTATGTTCAGTCTTCATTTATAAAGTCCTGGCTTCTGAAAGCATGAAACAGAATGTTTCTCATTTAACAGATGGGAGAGGCCTCACTGAGATGCCAGAAGTTTGCCACTTCCCTGTTTCTGAAAGCTCTAGCTGATTTTTTCCTGATAGAGAACTGAGGATGGAACTCAGCTCTCATCCCCAGCAAGACAAAAGGTTGTGCACAAAAGTCTTTTGGGCAGTGTTTCCTCATGCCTTCTTCATCTCTTCTCTTGTGATCTATGCTCTTCTGGGGGCTGTCATGTTTTCTCACATTGAGGGTAATAGAGACTGGAATGAAAGTGAAGAATTTAGGAATTTTATGCTGGATCTGCGGAACTTCTCAAAATATCTAACAGGTATGTACAGTAATAGAAAAATGACTTGGCTTACAGGATATTGCATCGCTTAGTTTATGAGCAGATATTTCAAAATCTGGTAGGTTTGGAAGCAGCTTTTCCTTCTGTTTAGAGTGTATTTATTTGCTTTAGTTATGATTTCCAGGTTGTAAGCTTCCATAGTCCCTATGAGAATGTTTTGATGAGATGTTTGATGAGATTATTTACCTCTTTTTTTCTTGCATCACTGGAAAGATTTAAAAGTTACTTTGGCTAGTTAAAGAGTGACAGAGATTGTTTAGCTATTGTAACAAGATCAGTTCAGCATTTCCCTCATCCCTCATGGGGTCCCCTGGAGTCATCTAGCAATAGGAGATCAACCTACTGCCCAACAAAGCAGAAATATAACAATTCAGAGAATCAGAGAAAAGCTGGATCTTAATAATTATTTATGTGAAGGATGGGTCCAAGTACAGGGGATATAATGTCAGGATGGCAAAGGAAGATCGGATGGTAGGAATGGGGTGGTGGCAGCTATTGATTGTCTACAGTAGACTAAATAGATGAATAGCTTTTGGTGAATGGTCACTAGTTCTTTCTAAGTGATTTCTTACACTTAAAAATTTATCAAAATACCTACTCCAGAATAATTATTCCAAAAGTGTTATTTATTTCAGTATAAATCCTCTGTGGACACTGTTATTCCATAATAATAATAACACATTTCAGCTGATCTTATTCCATTTTGAAAGTGATTCTAAAATAAAATAAAATAAAATAAAAAAACGAACTGGAAGGGACCTTGAGAGGTCATCAAAGCCAGTCCCCACCATTCTCATAACAGGACCAAGCATCATCTACACAGTTTGTTTGTCTAATATCCACCGATGGAGATTCCACAACCTCCCAGGAAATTTATTCCAGTGCGTAACCACCTTACAGTTAGGAAGTTTTTTTCTAATATTTAACCTAAAACTCCCTTGCTGCAATTTAAGCCCACTGCTTCATGCCCTATCTTTAGAGGTTCATGAGAAAAAATTTTCTCTCTCTTTATAACAATCTTTTAGATGCTTTATATTTATCAGGGAGGGATTATGGGGTTAAATCACATCAAAAAATGTCTGTTTGTGCAGATTATGGGAGTAGCTGCTTGAGGTAATGCATTTGGTATTTATCCACAGATAGGGGCCATGGTCCTCAGCAGTAGACTACTGAGAGACATTTCTGTTTACCTTCTGAATACAAATAGTTTTACTTTGTTAAGTAAAAGAACATGCTGATTGCACCTTTTTCCCCCTTTCACCTCCCTCTTTCCCCAGCTCTGTTATTCAATCAGAAGAAGAATAAACCTAGTAGAAAATAGCTAGATATCGTGAGAGACAGAGGTCAAATTTTGTGTCATTGTATCTTTGATATTTCTAGCATTCTTTTTAAATATCCCCCAGGTTCTTTGTATTCGTTTTTTTAAATGTTATATGCTTTCATCCATCCTCCCTCCATTCTCTCTCTCTTTCTTCATCACAGAGAATAGCATGATTCTACTTACAACACGGGAACAGATGTGGTGTTTTTGTATGGCTATATTCTTCTTTTAAAGTAACAGTGCCAGCGACTCAGCTGATGTAATGGAGTTGTACTGATTTACAGCAGCTGATGGTGGGGCCCAGAGTCTTGAAGCAGTCACCACATGCTATTTTGTTATTGTAACAGAAAATATGACAGAAAATGAGGAGGTCTTTAAGAATAAAACCCGTGAGTTGCTCACCAAAGCTAAGCTGGAATGGTTTGACAATCCAAAAGAACAATGGTCTTTCCTTGGGTCTCTCTTTTTCTGCTGTACTGTGTTCACAACAGTGGGTAAGTTCTGAGGTAAAGTACACTTAACATTTGAGGCTAATCACCACATTTAACTCATTATTTTTATCACTGAATTCACAAAAAAAAAATATTTGTATTGAGTAATTTGAGTTAAAAATGCTATCAAGAGCTCTATAACCACCTTCTAGTGCATTTCAGGGCTTAAATTACTGTAACTGCACATGCAAATTAGATGCTCAGTTGGATGCACACATGGTCATCATAACTTAACTTGAATTTTTAAGTTGCATTTTTCTCTATTGTTCTGGGTCAAAATGTGTTCTTGCCCTTTCCCTTGTTGTGTATTATTCTGGGTGTTGTCTTCCACCCAAAAAGAGGTGATCTGATTTTAAAGAGCCTCACAGTTGGTTAGCTTGAAAAGCATGTTATAAATGTAACTAACAATCTCTGGCATATCCACTGAAAATGTTGTGAAAATGTGACTCATCAAGCTCCTGATATTTTCCATTCCAGCTCCAGGTATAGACAGATGGCCTAGATACAAACAAAAAAGACTTGTCCTAGTCCCTTCTCTGAAACATGACTGGATGCCAGTTTTCACATGCTCCCGCTGTGCTTCTTCACACCATTCTCACATGTTGCACAATGACCAACATCACTTTTTGTGAGGGAAGATCAGGAGGCAGCAATCCAGAGAGTTTAACAAGGAAAGGGACAGAGAGAAGATTTCTAGAGTATGGGGTTTATTTTAAAGGTAATATGATCAGATATCCAGCTGAAACCTGTATTTACTCAACTGACCAATATTCAGTTAACTTTTAATACCCATATTTAGTTTCTCTGACATAATTCTTCAGCGCAAGATATGACAGAACCCACCATTTCCGGACAATGTGCACATCCTTGCCTCTAAAAGAGTATGAACTCAGAATTCATCCTCATGTATGAGCTCAGCTATACCCCTTCCTATTCAGCTCTGCTCTTAAGAATTAGTTTCAAGATCTCAAGTTGTGTGGTTAATGTTCCCACTCAGACTGTTTTCTTTGGTTACTCTTTCTGCCCTTCCATGGCTGTTTTATCTTTCTCTTAGATTTTAAACAAAAATTAATTTCTTTTCTTTACCACATAGAACCAGCTTGTAGCCATATCAGGGTGATTATTAGACATGGAATGCCACGCACCACTGGCTTTCTAGATATGACTGAGCTCTCCCACAACTATTCAAATACTTTTAAATATGTAGAATAAACCATCTTGTTAGTCTTTAAAGTGCTACATAGTTCTGTCTTTTAAATATGTAGGCAGTGGATGAGCTGTAACTAGCATGGGTGTGTTTACACCTGCACCTTTTCTTACTGGACTTTTGCAGGAGAGGCTTCAGGATTCTTTTTTTTTTTTTTAATTATTTAGGTAAAATCCCCATTTTACTTCAGTAAAAGTGCTGATTGACACAATGGGTCTATATGGAAGTGTGGTTCTCTTTCATCTCTACAGTTTCACATTCTTACCATATAATATTTTGTTATTGCAAATTTTTTTTTAAAAGAAGACAAATCACAGTTAAAGCTAGAAGCCATTAATTTCAATGGGAAGTTGTGCTTGAGTAAGGATCAATATGGACATTTGTTTATACATCAAACCAAATTGGCTAAAGATATGATCTAATAAGTGCTTTAGCTGATGATATTGTTTTAGGAGGGCGAGGTGCAATTTAGGAGGGTCTCACTCTAGGAGTGCAAAATATAGTTTCCTCTGTGGTGAAAACCGAGGAAGAATATGCAGCAGATATTTTAGTAAGTAGTAGAAATATTTAAGACAGATACTTTTTTCCAAATCACTTAAGTGATATAGAAGCTCATGCTTCATTTTTAGAAGTGAGTTAAGCATTTAAAGCATTCCTACTCTCCAATGTGCGTGAGCCCAAATAATCCCCTATGTGTTGACCTTCTTCCTAGGAATCTATAAACCACATTTATTTGCTAAGAGTCTTTGGGAGGCCCAAGATGCTTGGGGGTTTAGAGGAAGTGCAGAGCCAGGATTACTCATTTTCATTGTTGGCTGACAGCCACTTGTGTGGGGTGAGATCAGCTGTTGATCTGTAATTTGGCTGGATTATATTTGTAATCAATGTTACAGTAATTTATAACCTGTATTAGGCATTTCTATGCATATGAATCAAAAGGAAAAAAAATCACTCTCCACATATTAATTACAGTAATTAATCCTCACCTCTTACCTTTGTAGAGGAAGAATTAGCATCCCCATTTCACAGATGTGGGAATGGAGACACATCAGATAATTAACCTGCCAATGGCCACATACTGAGTAAGTGGCAGAGGTTGGATAAAACCACAAAGACTATAGGCATCTGTAGTAAGAATGAAGGTGACTTGGTGGTTATACTCCAGCATTTGGCTAAATAATTACCTTCTTCACATTCCCCATCCTCCCTCCACTCCTCCCTCTCCCCCTCCCCGCACCCGTTTCTCATCATATAGGAGGAAACAGTGTTGACTAAGGCAGAGAAAAGTGGTTTTTTAAAGGATTCTTTATGACTTTATGAAGGACAAAAAAGAGAACTTCCATTAAAATTTAATACACTGTCTCTCATCTTTTCCCTAATGGAAATGCATTAATTTAGGGTTAGGGTTTTTGTTTCACATCTGAAGAAGCAGTGGCATAACTGCAGGAAAGAAGTCCCATGTCTTAATTTAATTTGCAGTTGTATATCTTATGCTACCATTTTGTTACTTAAAATAATCAATTAACAGTGGAAATCTGGTAATACTTTTGCATTAGTTACATTTGATATGTGTACTTTTTAGATCACTAGAGTAAAATGCTGTTGGTTTCCAGTCATGCTCTTCAATGGAGAAAATATGTGTTCCCTAAAGTCCAGCTTTGCAATTCTCTATATATCTGCCATTAAAGTCATCTAACAAACTAAATAATTTCAAATAGTTCACAGTGCCAATTATGATCAACAGTGGGCCTGAGTCATATGGTTTGAGGGTGTTGAGATTCATTGTTCCCAGCTGACAGAGATGAACCAACTGCAAAGTTCAGAACAGAATCCAGCTCTGAACTTGCCAAAATTCAGGGAGTTGTGATTTGGTGGTCCATTCGGGATTAATTTCTACATATGAGTTACCACACACAAAAGACTCTGCATTCAGGTAAGTTTTATAGTTTGTGCATATGTTCTTTCAGAAGCAATACAGTGAAGGCCCTTGTGCTCTGAGTCACACCTAAGTACAAACCCCTCAGGCTAAGAAGTTTTAAAAAGGGTAGAGACAAACGTTCAAAAAAGACCCACCGACTATTGACTAAAATATGACCACACAAGCCACTTACTATTAAAAAGAAAAAAGTTCAGTGTGTTGAATCAAAATAAATTGCAGTGTTCTATTTTTGTTTTGTTTTAGGTTATGGCCATATCTACCCCATAACAAAGTCTGGGAAATATTTGTGTATGCTATATGCTTTATTTGGTATACCTCTGATGTTCTTGGTTCTGACAGACCTGGGAGACATCCTTGCAGCTATCTTATCCAAGTCTTACAATGAAGTTAGAAAACTTCAGTCAAAAATGCTAGCCTCTAAAGCATCTAAACGGTGTTCTGGATGCATCTGTAAGAAAAACAGTGATATAAAAACGGAATCATCATTGCTTATGCAACACAAAATAGTCATCCAGGAACCTTTAAGTGTCACAGAAGTGCTGAAAAGTCAATCCTCCATTAAAAGGAAGTCACTGGAATACCAGAATGCTGAAATATTTGAAATACTCGTTGCAAAAGAAAATCAATACCTTTTGTCACCAAAAATTAATAAATTTGAACGATGGAGTTCATGTCCTGAACTGGATTCAGGGAGGATGATCTGCGTCACTGAAAATTTTGACAAAATGGGCAAAGAAATTGAAAAGTTAGATGTGCCCATCTTGCTAATGGCACTAATTGTCTTTGCATACATCTCCTGTGCAGCAGCGATTCTTCCCAATTGGGAAAGCCATATGGATTTTGAGGAGGCTTTCTACTTTTGCTTTATCACCTTGACAACAATTGGGTTTGGTGATATTCACTTGCAACATCCCAACTTTTTCTTGTTTTTTTCCCTCTATATTGTCATTGGCATGGAAATAGTCATCATTGCTTTTAAGCTGGGCCAAAACCGATTGATTGGCTTATACAAAAAGGTGATTTCATATTTTAATAAGATGACGACACAGTATGAGAAGTATCCATTTAAAAAACAGTCATAATTTCCCCCAGTCAAATTCATTGGCAAATGCAATCAGATGAAATTGTTAGTGTGTTTTCTTCTCCCTGCTTTGCGAAAGACTTTGGCATATTTCCCTCATTTATATGAGCTCTGTTTGTTCTGAAATCATTAATAACATGCTGTAAACTGGTGGGATGCCTGAGGACAGGTGTAGGCAGGAAAACTAGACAGGTGCAGGCAGGAAGGATTTTCCTCAAGGGATATTTGAAACCAGAAAAAAAAATCAACTAATATTTTAAAAAAACCTCCCCAGGCAGGATTCTGCTCAATCTTATGTGCCCTAGCAGCAGAAGTCTGTCTGCCCGCAGACAGACTCTCTTTTCTGCCTCCCAAAGTGTCAAATTATGGTTCTTCTCCACAGCACCTGCAGAAGCAGAGCTAAGGATTGCTTCTTACTCACCAGAGCCAGAGAGTAGCCGTGTCCTGTTACACACATACCCACCCACCCACCTCCTTTTCTAGTGGCAGAACCAGGCCTGAGATAATTAAGCATAATTAAGGTATGCATGTCAGTGTAGTATTAAAAAAGGGCTAATTTTGCTCAAAACCCGTCTCCCCCTCCATCTGTTTTGTAATGTTCAGGCAGTGCAAAACAGACAGAAGATTGCTCCTGAATGGATATGTGAGGATGCTCCTTGGGCAGCATCATCCCTGGGTAACACAAAGCCCATCAACATAGCTGACTCGATGGCACCCATTTCCTGCCCCTGCACAGCAGGCCTGGCAGGAGTACACTGGACTCTGGCGATCTCTAACTGACCAAGTATCTGCTAGAGGATTATTCTAGTTTATGTATCTATAGCAGTTTTAGGCTGCTTTAAGTTATGCATGGAACCAAACAGATTTTTGGCTAGCTCCAGGATCAGAGAAGTGGAAAAATAGCTTAGCCACCTTCCCCACTCCCCACCCCCATTCACTGCTCAGCCAAACCTGCGGATCTAGCCCAAAGTTTTTAACCTTGAAAATAATAATTTATTCGATAACTTTCAACATGGCTTTGCAGTTAGGAACAGGATGTTTGAATTCAAAGTTAAATACCATAGATTCAGAAACTTTACTGTCCTCCACAGTAAAACAATTTCCTATATTAAGGGTCAGCATATGTATACTTTCAACTCTTTGTACTCAGCATAGTGGACATGTTTATAGTGTTTATCTATAACATGCAACCACTAATCACAGTTTCTAGTCTCAAGATAGCTATTGGTGGGAAAACATGCAGCAAACCCAAGACTGTTATAATTTATGAACTATAGCTATTGGTATATAGTATAGCAAGGCAGTATGGTTTAAACTGACACAGCTTGGCACTAGAACCCTAAAAGCCCTGAGCACTAATTTCAGCTTTGCTACTGACTATCATTGTGGCTTTGGGCAAGCCACTTCACCTACATCACTTTCCCAGTCTGTAAGTAGGGAAACACGACTCCCCACAGCCAGGAATGTCGTGCAATTTACATAGGTAAAGCTTATTATGTATTCTGAACCTGTAAAAGCACAATATATGTGCCAAGTGTTAGTAATAATTTTTACTAAACAAAAAAATCCTATCATGCCAACTATACGTCTTTTTATGTATCAAAACTAGTTACGTATTCTATAAAGAGCACCACTGCATTTAACAACTCTGCCTTGGCTTGTAAACTATAAGCTTAAAAATGGAATTTGAATGAAGACTCTGAATATTATAGTGCATTCTGATCATGATGTGATATACATTATTTTTATTAGCAGGTTTGCCCTTTGAAGTTGATATTTTCTGAATATTTATATGGCATCTCATGTAATCTCAATGAATAATGGTGATTTATATTCAGTACTAATTATTAATGGTTATTAGCAGTAATTAAATGCAGATGATGTACAAAATACATGCACTGAACAAAATGTGTTGTATACTAAAATTATTAATAATAAAGAGCATACGAATCCTGGTTAATTGTTCAAACATTAGGCTGAATTCAGGCATCAGTGTAAAGTAGCTTAAATTTGAACAAGTCTCACTGTGTCCACAGAATTAAATTTGACAGGATTAAGGCCTTGGACCCTGATACAAAGTACTATAACACTCAACTGACAGACTCCTATTGGCTTAATGGGCCTTGTATCAGACCTGAACTGCCCTTCATTATTTTCCCCTAGAGTTTTCTTTATGTTAAGGTCCAGTGCTGTAAATCTCACTCACAACCAGCCTTACCCATGTGATTGGTCCCACTGATGACAAAGGGATAACCTACATAAATAAGGTTGGGCCCAGGATTAGGCTCATGGAAGCAGGGGAATGGTCCCGCTATTGTGGGGAACTTTCCTGGCTTCTATACTACCCCGGTGAAATGGACCAGCGAAAGGATCTGAGTCCCCGCTCCCACTTCTTTTACCCAAAGGCCTCCCTGACCCTGAGGGCTCCCCTTCACCTCTCCTGAGTAGCAGAGTCCTCGAAATCCCAACGAGGCTGGGCCCAGGTTTTCTGGGGCTTAATCCCCGACCCTGAAGTCACTTGGGGCAGGGGCTAGGGTGTCCCCACTCCGGGGTGCTCTCTTCACACTGGATGCTTTCTTGACCCAGTGATCATTTCATACAGTTCAAAGCAAATACAATTTATTAAACAGCAACTGATTAAAAAGAAAAGAATAAGGAAAAAACGAGAAAGGTTAAAAGAGAACACATAGTCCTGCTCTGTAGCACGGGGACATCACAAACAGCTTTGCAGCATGTAAGGACAGTTCACAGTCTGTTCCTTATAGGTCTCAGGGCTCTTTCTCAGGCCCTGGTTGTGCTGCAGGGGGGCTGCAGGTTGCACACACTTGCTCTGGCAGTGACCACACAACTTCAGACTCTAGGTGGCAGGACCCCTCTCCCAGTTGGAGTTACAATCCCTCTCCAAGTCTGGCCTGCAGGGCCTCTTGGCTGGTGGTGTCTCCCTGCCCAGAACCTTTCTCCCCTCTTAGCACAGGGTCTGCACTCTGTGGGCTGTATGGGCCTTTGGCTCTGACCCTGCAGGTCTGTCTCTCAACATAGCTTGCTCTTCTTAGCTCTCTCTCCTTTTCTCAGAGAGACCCAGAAAATCCCAGCTCACAGGGAGGATGGGACCTGGCCTCCTGATTTCCTCATTGGCCTGTCTAACCTGTCAATCAGGCTGAGCTGGAGTGTTGGCCTCTTTCCATTGTCCCTGGGGTCTGTCAGTCTCAGGGCCCTGATTTCTCATGGACTCTTCCCCTTTTGGTACTGGGAGCTGGCCAACCAAAAACTCCCACTGAGTTTTAGTAAGGGGTTAATAGTCCCCTTACACTCACATTGTTTTCTTGCCTATATATAGTGAGTGTGCCTGTATTTTGGTGTTTAATTTTCATACTTATTCAGAAACCATTTGGCAGAGCACAAGGCATCAGTCAATACAACAGGACATGAAGAACAATTCTAAGCACCAAAATGCTTTGTTCATAGCACCAAGACTTGACTATATTGAACTCTTTCATCTCCAGATCACTGGTTCAGATTTAGCCAAGATTTTAGGAGGGGAAATGTTGATCACACCTGATGGCTCTGTGATCTTCTTTGTGGCTTTCCCCCTAGTTCCAGGGGGATGTGCATCCACTTCATTAAAAAAAATCCACCTGTACAATTAACAATAGACGGCACTCTTTATGGCAGCTTCATCAGAAGCAAGAGCCCGAGAATCTCAGGTGGGAGAATGACCCTGGTTTCTAGCTTTCCATTTCCTAGAAATACGTTCAGACCCCTGAACTTCCAGCTTAGTGGCATGGGGCATAGAATGTTTTGACCCACTATAACAGAATTTTATTCTTCAGGGCTAGTGATTTTTGCTTGTCTATAGAGAAGGATACAGGATGAACAGTGCATGGTGCTGGATAAATTACATTTTAGGAGCCTGTACCAAAACATATTGTTAGTCTAACTTTCCTCTGTTATTCTTCATCCCCTCAATGTAAAGAAAAACATGTACTGTGACACAAGAAATTGCACATGTTGCTTTACACACACAGGCGAGGGGGCTCAAATGGTTCAGGATAAATTCCAGTCATATTTGTTAAAATACACAGGCAGAGCCAGTGAGAGAAATGTTAGGAATCTGCTCCCTCACTCCCAGCAAATAATAGGTGTCAGCAGACAAATGATCTCCCATCTACGGGACCAATTTTTTTTTTTTTTTTGGAGGAGGAGGAGGATGGCTGCTGTCTAAATGTAAAAAAGGCATGCACAATTAGTTGAACTGCATCTAGAAATCCACTTATTGTGCATGCCAATAACTAGACATTTACACGTGTCATCTGTGAAATTTTAGTAACTGAACACAGAGAAAATAGTGAGCAACTGTGCATACAGTTTAGCACAGGGAACTTCGACTTCCTTCTTAAATAATCAGCCTCTTGAGGTCAGACCAAGTTGACTCCAGCTGAGGAAATTGTGGTGTTGGTAATTGAGTACAGGTAGAATAAGAGCCACCAAACTTGATTTATAAATTCCTTCAATCTGAAATGACAAATTGTTGCAGTTTTAGCAAAGCATGTGTCATATCAGCCAAATATTTAAGAAATAGAACATAAGGATTACCAATGCCATGAAGAAAAGTTATTAAATATTCCATGTCAAAGATCTATGGATGAGAATTCAGGGAAATGAAATTCAGTCTAATGACATTACTACATTATGCAGGCACTTCCACAAAATCCTATATAAAATTGGAAAGCCGAGACATGCTGTGCAGTGAACCAACATATAAGACTGTCAATGCACTTGCTGCTCCACTGAAAGTGTTACTTAATCCGTTGAACATTGCTGGCTGCCATCAGGCTTGTTGCTGCATGATCTGAAAGAGAAACCCACTGGTCTGTTAAAGTAAGTGAGCAATGTCAGTGCCGTCTACTTCAGATATGACAAGAGAGACTTGAGAAGCAATCTAAGGTTTGGAAGCTGACACATGGTACAGGATATTCAGCCTGCAGCTTTGCCATGAGATTCTTTCCTCACAAGGAGTCAAGTAGATTTTGACTGAAAGGGATTAAAGTGGTGCAGTGTGTATTCAGGTGGGAGCCTCTCAATCTTCAGACTTGTTCTTATACTTGTTCCTACAGCTGTCTGAATACAACACAATACTTAATCAGAATGGAGCATATTTACCCACAATAAGGAGACTATTGACCCCCTTTGCTGGGCAGAATTCACCCAGAGAAAGGCATCCAGCCTAAATAAGGATGACTGCTCAGCTTTTCAGAGATACATGATGTGAGTGGCTGTCTTATGAGAACCTACACAGAAGCAGGTTTTCCAATTTTTTTTTTAGAAGTATATCTACTTACTGAGATTTATGAACAAGCAAAAGACATGATGCAATAGAGTCACTATGGGTAGATATAAAGACACATCTAGAACAGAGGTCCCCAAACTGTGGGACATGTCCCCTGAGGGGGCATAGAGGTGTGGTGAAGTCTAGGCCAGTCCCCGTGGTGGGTAAGGAGTGAATGCCATCCAGCCCTGCTCTGCTATCAGCTCTGCTCTGACTCCACCCCCAACTGTGGTCCAGCTCCCATGCCTCACTCTGCCCCCAGCCTAAGCTCCACGCCTGGCCCCACGCCCACCCTGACCCAGCCTCAGCCCCCTTAGCCTGGCCACATTCCCCTTTCCCCTAGAGCTGCAGCCCTGCTCCTGGCCCAAGCCCGAGTCCCAAGGGGAAGGAATAGACAAGTCGGAGGTGGGGAGCCTGAAAAGTTTGGAACCACTGATCTAGAATTAGGCATGGATGGAAAAATATGCTTGGTAAAAGATGTGCAAAGAGAATACAAGTATGATTCTCATACAATGTGCTAAAACACTGGCAGCAGGAGTCCCATCCCCAGCAAAAGTGGCAAATCTTTTTACCATGCCTAGGCATTAAGGTAGAAGTCGCTTTTGCTATCACATCTGCAAAGCTGTGATCAGAGCATTCAGAATGTTTTTAGCATTGTAATGCCCTGCCTATGCACGTCATCTGCTATAGTTCACCTGTGAACTGTGGTGATATTCTTGGTCAGTGTGGGGGGAGTGGACAGCTTGGGGTGAAGGCATCGATAGTATGGAACAGGTGATTATACTGCAGTACTAAAATAGAAACTTGGGCCTTGAATCCAATATTCCCACTAATATTTTCCATTAATGTGTGGAATAAATTTTATGTGCACCACTAATAGAAACACATTGCCAGCTGTGGGCAATTCTCAGTATTCTGCCAATGCGGGGGGAGGGAGAGAAGGGGACAGCACCTGAATCTCTCCTGGATGGCTACCCAAGTGCTCATTTTACAGGGAACACTGATTGTATCTGGCAGCTTGTTCTCCTAGGTCAAGTATAAAATCTAGTAAGTTGAAATTTTATGGATGCACCAGCTTTGTTTGCTAAGTACACTGTTGGAAAAAGAAGAAAGGCTCTGATCACTGCCTGAACGAAATAGTGGTTAGATCAGGAAACTGGTATATTGAAGATGTCCAAGGCCGAGTCCAACATATGTCCAGCTACATGTGGTAGTCCAGAGAGTGCCTAGGGGAATATGATGGTTTCTATGGAGACCATGTGCTCAAGTATTACTGTCTCACAGACAATCAACAATGTGAAGTTGAGGTCACTAAGAACTAGGAATGTGGAAGATTCCAAAACCCTAATGGGCATCAGCTCAGAAAGATCCTCCAGGAGGAGAACAGGTTTCTTTCTGGAGGTCGGTATAGTACTCCGAATCCAAGGTTTCCCTTGTTTTTCACCTATAAGATAAAATATTTTAGTTTCTTGGGGTGGAACATCATCTGCCCCGAGGCTGGAGGAGAAAGGGAGACCGCTACTCCACATTCGCTGTTCTTTTTGTTAATGCATTCTGAAGTCTGTCTGGACTTGTTACATACAGAGTATCCATGGGAGACCAGCTGTA